TTTGTCTATTGGATAATACTATTCTTGGTTAAAATAGCAAAGGCTATGTACCTTTTTTTCATAGAGAGTACTTTTAAAGCAGCTTCCAACCTGATTTTTGTCTGAACACAAGCAATGTCAAAAGCATAAGTTCAATCTTCTGCTAGCAGGCCCCCACTTTTACTGGAAACGTGGGAACAACGAAAAGGGACTGACTTGTTTCACCTTTAACCAAACCATGGTTTGTCATCATACAAACCTGGTTACTTCAAATATGTTGATTCTTTTCTCTATAAATAGAGAAGCATTTTCAAGCTCAAGAGAGGACTTTTTGGCTAGAGGAACGAATCTCCAAAATTTTCTCAAACACAATAAAGCTCTTAAACACTTAAATACCTGTCAAACACAAACCCAGAATCCAAACATTGTCCTCTTCGAATCCGAAAGGCCCCTGTACCTTGTTCCCCTTCGAATCCAGCAGGAAGAACGTCACGCTTATTCTCCTCTTTCGAATCCAGCATCAAAGACTTAACCTCTGGTCCCTCCCTTCGAATCCAGCAGCATTCAAGGAAACCACTTCAAGGTCCAGCACACCCTTCAGCCTTCAGCAAGGTAAGTTGTTCTAAACCTTGAGCTTTTCGTTTCTTGTATAACATGTAAATAAGTTTTTCTTTCATTTCAAGCATGTACATACCATTGTTTTTTTCGTTTCCACCCTTTTAACATATTTTCAGAGCTAACCCTTTCGTTTTGCTTCTTGTTTACCTAAACATGCATTAAGTATTAAACTGGTTGTAAGGCAATGTTAGCATGGCCTTAGGCCATGTTGCTATTTAAGAGTTCAAACGAAAGAAACAGGAAACAGGAAGTAGGAAACGAAGCCTCTGGCTTTGCACTAACCTCAAGGTCAAACGAAAGAGGCAACCAGAAGGCACACCATGCTAACTTCTAGGCCCAGACGAAAAGCATGCCTACACTAATTCCAGACTCAGTCGAAAGGCACTCCCTCACTACTTTCAACCCCCAGTCGAAGGAGGCAAAAAGGTAGATTGCATCTTACACTGGTTCCAGGCCCCAATCGAAAGGCATAACATGCTGACCCCCAGGCCTCAGTCAAAAGCCACGCCTTCACCCCTTCCAGACCAGATCGAAAGAAGCCAGGAAGAGCAGAATCGAAGGATGTTGCTGCCTGGATCGAAAAGGCTTATTTTACTTTCTTTATTTTGTTTATCTTTACATTTTCTTGTTATTCAATATGGTTGTAATAGTGTAGGATATTTATTTTATGCATTTTTATTGTTTTATATAAATGTTAGTAATTAGGATGTATGGCAAGATAAAACCAACAAGTAGACAATCCAAAAATCAAATACAAAAGGCATGCAATGAAACGCACTTTGCACACATGCACCTTTAGGATAATCTCACTTGTTGTCTCGGAAAATATTCATGTCCCTCGAATATGGGCGTTTTAGCAAAGACCCTCGATAAAAGATCGTAGTCCCTCGATGACCTCAATGTTGCCTTCGGTAAACGATCTAGTCCCTAAACGACATTGCTAAAACGTCCCATAGGTTGCCTTCTATGACTCTACGAAGTCCTACGACCGTCCCTTCACATCCAACGATGAGGCTTCTTACCAAATCAATGGTAAGATAGCAACATCTAAAGGAGGAGGAAAAGAACACTAAAGACCTTTGAGTAGGTAGGTTGCTCCTAGTTGCTCGCTTGCTCACAACAAAAATATTTTATACACCAACACTTTTTTTGAAATATTTTCCAAAGACAACACTTTGTATGCGTTCTTATAGAGACGAGAATTATTACAAAGACACCTTTTCAAAATCACTTTCAAAAACAAACACTTCTTTGAACTATTTTCCAAACAACACTTTGTATGTGTTCTTATAGAGACGAGAACCATTACAAAGGCACGTTTTAAAAATACTTTCAAAACCACACCATAAGCACACTTTCAAACAAAAGCAAGTGATCTAGCAAGCAATTAAGAGCCCATAGATAACTATGGATGAAAAGAATGCTAACACCTTTCATTTTCATGATCTATCCCCCGAACTCAAGAAATAATCTCGAAAGATCTTTCCTGTTCTTTTCAGCCTTTTCTTATTGAATAAAAGAAAAGTCAGTGGCGACTCTTGCTATCTGCAACAATTGCGATCAAACACAAAACATCCCAAGTCAGTTCTCCCACGGTGTTACACTGGTGGTCGACCGTCGAGCTATTGCGAGCAGTTGAAGGAGGAAGAAAAAAATACTAATCGCCCTGTCCCTCTCGTATTATAGCTGGAAAGACCCGCGCATGCGAACCACGTGCTTTGGAAACCCTAGAGTCGTCATCATGACACCCTAGCCCTAGGCCATCATTAGTGCCGCCCGACCGGCGCGTTTCCTGGAATACGCTACCTCTCCAAATTCAACGGTCCCGACGACAAACGTTTCGCCTCCCCAATAAATAAGCACAACGGGCAAACGCCATTTCCCCGTCCTCCGGGCAGACATCAAAAGTCTTCGCTCCTATTCCCAGAAGCAACGACTTGGGGGCTATTATTCTGGACTAGCCCGACAGTTTGATTGGGCCCAGTCTGAGACATCTCATGGGTACTTCCCACTGACCGTGGCCTAAACTGCTCGCACCTGTCGGGCAATATCACCCTCTTGCCCTTCCGGTCCAGCACCAATCCTTGATGCCCGTCGAGCATCTCCTTAGTCTGCCCGACATCAGCGTCGTGCAGACCACCAGGAGTCGATCAGAGAGATGCCCGCAACCAATCTCCTCCCTAAAACCAATGGGTAGTTGCGAGCACATCTACCTGGTTTGACCAAGTCCTGGCAGTTACCTGATTTTCTGGATCCATATATCTAGGCGAGAAATCAAGAACCAATGGCCAAGCGCTAGGGGCATTATATAAACCCTCACACCTGTGAGGGCCAGGTATCACATTTTTACCACTCACTACCTGATATTCTGCTAATACCTCCTTACTCCCATTCTTACTTGATCGTTGGAGTACCTTGCAGGTACAACCCCCTATTTCCTCTGCCCGACTGAAGATCATCCTCCGACCACTCTCCAAGTTTTGGTCAACCGCAAGATCAGTTTCATTGATGTTAAACCTCTTTCTCTCCCCATGGATCCAAGCATCGGTTTAAATGAGTAAGATGGTCCTTTGCTTGAAGATGTCTCTCAATACAGAAGAATGATTAGTAAGTTGTTGTATATGACCATTTCTAGACCAGACATCTCATATGCAATGAATAAACTCAATCAACACATGATTAGGCCTAGACAACCTCATATGAATGGAATTCATCATATACTTCAGTACCTGAAAGTAACTTCATTCCTAGGAATTATTTTCTCTCCAAATTCATCTATGCATATCCCTGCTTATTGTGATGCTGATTGGGGAAGTTGTATCATAACTAAAAAGTCCCCCATGGAATTTTGCATCTTCATTGGTTAATCCTTGGTATCATGGAGGTCAAAGAAACAAGCAATTATCTCAAGATTATTTGAATAAGCAGAATACAAGGTTTTAGCTTCACTTGCCTCTGAATTATTATGGTTGAAACAACTTTTAAGAGCTTTTGGAATTGATGTTCCTACATACAAAGTTTTTTGTGATAGTAAATAAGCTATTTAGATATCATGCAAAGTTTATTTTGATAGTACATAAGCTATTTAGATGGCCAACAATCCCATGGACCATGAAAGAACTAAACATATTTACATAGATTGACATTTAATTAGAGAACATGAAAGAATTTTGGGACTTTCTTAATATACCTTTAGGGTTTTTAGGGACTCTTGGCAAAAAATTTGTAATATCTTCCTAATTTGGATATGCATATCTGAACGCACCACATTTCAGTTTTTTATTGAATAGGTTCGGAGATGCATATCTGAAGCCACAAAGTGGTATCTTTCGGACACACATATCTGAAATAATCCATGTTTCTTTTTTTTAAAATGAAGGTTATTTTGGATAAGCATATCTGAATTATGCAGAACTAGTAACAAATTATGTTTTAGCATAATCAGTACCATAGAAACATGAGAAAAAAATTAAATCGTTAAAAGTAAACAGCGGTAACCAAAGCAAATTAACATAGATTTAACATAAATAGTCAAAATTACATAGATAGTGGAACATAAATTTAACATTATATATTGTTATAAACTGGTAGTTGAGGACGTTGCAACATTTTGATAACACCTTCTCCCGATCTTTGAAGCTTTGCATCCATTTCAATCGGACCCTTAGTAGAGTATCAGTGAAAAGTACACCACATAACATTTAAATCGTCATCCATCTTTAGTGCAAAAGAAGTTTATTATCCTTCGTCGCACCATAGTGATCAAATCAGAGTCTTTTTCCAATTAGTGTAGACCTCGTCCATACGTATGGGGAAATTTAGCCTCATCTTTTTAGAAATGAGACAAGCACATGGAAGCCCGTAAGTTTTCCTAATTGTACATCCACACTTCAAATTATCTGGCCCCGTCGTCTCTGCTCGCTTTGCTTCATGAAAAATGAAATTAAATCACGTTCGAGATATGTTGAGAACCAACTGCGAGTAAAAAGTGTTATCTTTGAATCGGTGTTCTACCACAATTATGCTTCGACCAAAAGTTGTTGGAAGTTTATTATGTTGGTTTTGGAGCATTTGGTTCAGCGTGTCTCGTTCTCTACAAAGACCTCCCTTGATATCACTCACACATTTCTTCAACGCTGAATGTGCAAATTCTACTCTATTAGTTATTGTATTTCTCAAATGTGTAACCTGGTCCGTCCAAGCACACGCATCTTTTTCTTTCACCTGATCAAGAATAGTAGATTTAACATATTTCAGAAAATATATATATTTGTCACACAAGCTCCTAAAATGTACCACATTCTCAGCATATAACTCTTCTGTAGAAAATGTCTCAGACACTGACTTTATCCTCACACTCTGTACCTTGAAACATAGTGGTTGTCGTAAAAAAATTTTAAAAGTTATTGCATTTCGGATATCAGACCTATATTCGCCATGTTCTGTTGATAACGTTCATTGTATACCTGTCTAATATTTAAAATACTTTGTGATCTTTTCCGTTTCAAATCGACAAGTATGTTTTTTGGTGCATCTTTGATTATCGACATTTCTGAAATAATTACCTTCTCATGTGGTTTAAGTCGGCATACAATTGGATGACCTTGTAGCTTGGTGTCTAACGCATGATTATGTATACCGAAAATCACATTAAACTGCCACTTATCATCCACCCTACAATATCTGCGTAATTTAAACGGACACTCGTATTTTCTCGATCCAGTGTCATCATATTTAACTTTTAAAGTTTTGGAACATATTTTCCACTTCTCTCGCATCTCGTCGTTGCAAATGTTTGCCTTCTACTAGTGTCATTGTCGTACATTCCCATCACAACGCCAAACTCGAGTTTGCTAGCTTCCACTCGGACTCATTCAAGCATATGTTGACGAGCACTGAAAGTTTGATCATTTATAAATTGTTGTCGAACATATATTTCGATATCAATCGTTTTAACGTCGTCCTTCACCTCATTCGACTTAGCATCGTCATTCACATTGTCTGAAACCTTTACAACAGTTTTGGCATACAAATATATATTAAAATAAGTGTACTCGAAGGGTTATACCTTAATGATTCATAGGATGATATGAATTATTGTTATATTGACACATCATCTATGGAAGTGTAAAATAAAAATAATGTCTACAATAAAAGATTGTTATAGTTAGTTATATAAAAGTGAAATAGAAATAAATGTAAAATATATCATAATATGTAAAAGTTATTGAATGGAATTACCTAAACAACATTGTAAAAAACTTACTTGAAAACCATATTTTTTGTTTCATGTAATGACAATTTCTCTTTGTCATGAATTTATATCTTTAAACCTGACTTTCTTTTTACTCTAGACATTGCAACAAAAAGTTGGTCATGGCTGAAGACTTCTTTTGGCAAATATAAACCAACATAGTCTAATGATTGACCTTGAGATTTATTGATTGTCATTGCAAATGAAACAATAATGGAGAATTATCTTCTAATTAGTTTGAATGGCCAAGGGGATTGTGAAAGAGATAAAGACATTCGGGGAATGTAAATTGTGTTTCCAACATGCGTACCTGAAATAATCTTAACCTCGGTGACATGATTTACTAGCCTTGTTATTGTTAATCTTGTACCGTTGCAAAGACCTTCAGATTGATTCAAATTTCTAATCAACATAATTGTTGTGTCAATCTTCAATTTTAGGCAATGGATTGGCAAACATGATGTTTTAAGACAACTTAAAAATTCAAGAGTCAAATGCTCGAAAGCCTCATTGTCATTTGATTCCAATTTATCAATAGAATCGCTACTCAAGTACTCTTTTGCATCACCTATAAAAATAATTTTTTAGAAAAATATAATGTACAAACAAAATTTAAAGTAAAGTTACCTGGAAGAAGATTAGTAATGTAATCATTGATAATAGAATGAAAAGTATAATGGTAATTTCATATGGTACATAATCTGTGATGAAGATGGAAAACATTGGGATGAAATGTTTCTTAAAAACAGTAGGATGGATTTAAATTGTGATATAATGTTGTTAATTATATACCTTTTCATGATCTGTCTTAGAGCACGAGCAGACATCTCAACATAAGGAATACACTCATTGTCTCAAAACATAAAACATACATAAATTAAATGCTTATGTGTAGTGCAGCTTACTTAGTTATAATGGCAGAACTGACTTCAGAACAATTGCATTGGAATGGGGAGTCGGGAGTTTGATTTGTTTTGTTACAAGTTGGACACAACTCATAATACCAGCCAAAAGGGTTAGCAACGAACCTGAAAGTCATTCCAACTATATTGCAAAATGTTTCCTACACAATGTATAATGGGGTATATAAATTTTTTGCAGAAAAAGAAAAATCCAGAAGTAAAGTGAAGATAAAGCAGGCTAAATAAGAGAGATACTTCAATAAGAGTGACCATTTCAGCAATGCTTCTAACACCCTTGGTGAATGACAAAGCTCTATCGTCGAATGATCCCTGGGAGCATGAGTTGAGAGAAAATAATTGTGTAGCAGGTTGATCATGGTAACCCTCAAGAAATGTGTGTTAAAGGCAAGTTGAAAATAAAAAATGCAATAAACGAAGTCAAAAAACATTCGAACATTGTAGGTAAAGACAAATGATGTAAGTATGTATACTTTGTTTAAATTCAACAACTTGTGGATGATCATGGTTCAGAAGCAGTTTAGATCCGTTTCAGATATTTGAAATGTTGAGCTTGCCATTTACTGAAAAAAGTAAGCAATAAGTGAAATTTATTCACAACATAAGAATTGTGTAAAATTCAAAGTAGCTTACTTGCGCGTTGTCGGCACCAAGCGTGCGTAAGTATGAGGACAACATGCCCATCATCAGACGCGTAGTTCATAAACGGGTTTGCATATGCTTCCCATAGAGTTAGATTAATCTATGTCCCACTACAATGAAAAGACAAGTAATTGTTAGTTTGATATAATAAAAGTGAATCAAAATGTTGAAGTCGGACTGTTATGAATCAGTATAATAGTAGACATTTCATCTGACAAAGTGAGGTTCACGCAAACCTTTTTTTTCAGCTCCTGCGACTTGAGTCCTAACAACTTGTTTTTCAGCTCCTGCAACTTGAGTCCTAACAACTTGTTGGACAACACCTATCACATCTGCTTGAAAATATAGTGAAAGTTACAACGTTTAATATTTGAAATTGTTATGTGGTAACAAAATAATAATTGATGAAATACCGTATAGGCGATCAACAATAAAATGTCCTTGTAAGAAATCAACAAAGGGCTTGAAATGGAGGCAATGTACTAGTATGGTAGGGATGTCCACGGTTGTGATAGTAGTGACACAATTAAAAAACAGCTTGTACTTGTTATCACACACTTTGAGTGACATGTCATACAATAATGCTTCACGATTATGCACCATGTAGGTTTGATTATCCTGCAAGTTTTTTTTTCAGAGATCCAGGTCACGGGCGCGGGTAACAACATGGATTTGTTCAGCTTGCAGTTGAAAGAAAACTCGTAAAGGTGTATGGAATGTGCAAATGTAGAGTGTAACGTATGATATAAACAAAGAAAACCACCTTTGCATCTTGAATAATAGCTTCAAGATGCTGCTGGCCATTGTGTTCCTTTACGTTCCAGACATCAACCACCCTAATAGCTATTTTCTATACATTCTCTTCGAATTTCAAATCGCGAATCATAATCGGTGCTCTTGACATGGTTGCTTGGAAAAAGTTACAGGAATTAACATGAACGACATCAAAATGACAAGGTAAAAAATAACCAACAACAATTTTATTAGTAAAAAATTTATTTCTTCGAAAAGTATAAACTAAACAAAAGATTGTCCTTTTAACCAACAACAATATCTATAAAGTTGATAAAAATCCAAACTTTATAAAAATCAAAACTTTTAAAAAAGAAATAGTGTATAAAAACCAGAACTTGAAGAAAAAGAAAAACTTTATAAAATCAAAACTTTAAATGAAGAAAAATAGAGATTCATCGATTCCACATCTTCAAATAGTAGACAAACTTACACAGAAATTCAGAAATCATATATAAATCATAAACATAACTTTTTAAAAATAAGAACTTGTTTATAATAACCTACACTGAAAAGTTGTTCAACATCATTTCTGAAATATAACCAAAACTTTGAAAACAACAAAACTTTATAAAAAGAAAAACGAAAAAGCAGTTGATGTGTTTATCTTTTCCCAGAAATAAAAAAAGTATACAACTTGACCAAACATGCCGGTTTGTAACATAATAGTAAGAACAAGAGAAGAAAATTACTGACTTGTGTGGAAGGCGCTTGGAAAGGAAGAGAAAGAACTTCAAATCCGGCTTGAATGGAAGACGAGGAAGAAGAAAAAGGCGCAGTGAATTTGTTGGGAAGAGAGAGCGATGAAATTGAGTAGTGTCTTCCGAGTAAATGAAGAAAAGAGAATGGGAGAGAAATAAGTATAGTAACTTAATGTTACTGCCTACCGGACAATAGCATGTCTCAACAAATATTTGAAATAATTTTTCCACTTAGAGGAAAAAAACACATTGATTGGTCTAAATGTGTTGATTTAGCAAATTACAATAAATGGCTTTTTTTTAATGTAAATGTTAAATAGGTAGAAAAGTAAATTTGAGAGTTACTAGGCGGGTCGAAATCTTAGCTAGGTAGTTGATATAATTTTTGGTACCTTTTAGTTTTACACACACGAGACGAGAGTATGAGTTTGGCACATTCCTTTACGCGTTTGGCACACACTTGTCCACACCCTACACATTCCACAAGTGTCCCACATACAATTAATTGTACTTCTTACCGAGCGAAATTCCCGTAAAATGGAAGACTCTCGAAATGAAAATCGTTTAGTAAGAAGTTGGAGTTCCACATAAAATACTACGGCCTTAAATTTCATCCAAAATATATTAAAAAAAGGCCACAAAAATGTCAGAATTTTCTTCTAGTTAAAGAAAAGCATTATTATGACTTAATGAGGCAGAAAGGTTCGTTTCAAATCAAAAAACAAAATACCATAGATTCCTAAGAATAAACATATACAGGCTCGTAACAATAACATACGTACAACTGAAAAACAGTCTTAAGACATAAATAGAGCATAGTCTTGTCTTTTATAAAACAAAATATATATGCATAAAACATGAGATCGATCCACTGTCTAATTGCAATGACATAGCACCACAACGCACGATCGAGTCAAGGAAACTAGATAGCAGTGTGCCTGGCGATTATTCAACGTTCTCCCTGAACGTATTACCTAATTAAACATCCTTAATATAATAGCTAATACATAATTAAACCTACTCTCCGTTAACTAAGTCCATAACAACACGCTTAATGCTTCCTTCGTTCTTCAACAGCAGCCTCTTGTTAGTCTCCCTGTCAGAGAAACCCTGCACTCACAAACCCATCACAATCAACAAAAACCATATAGGCAAGCATGCGATGATAAAAGTAAGTCTTAAATGGCAGTTAGGAAAATACGAGAACAGAATTGAAGTGAAGATAATATGCAAAATTGGTTTATGAAGCAGTAAAGTAGGTAATGGGGTGTAGAATTTAAAATTTGCAACGCAGACAATACTGGTTATATTCAGTGGGGATTTAAGAGGGGAGGAAATGTAGCAGCAGGGGTGAGGGGTTGGATACATTGATAGTGGGATTTTTTGGCTAATATTGGAAGTTGATTTCGTCGTCTGTTTTTCTTCACCTGATTTGGAGTATGAAGTCCGATAGTGATTATATTGTTTTGAACTAGTTATCTATTTTTTTATAATTGCATTTGATTGGGAATCAATGTGCATCCCTTCGTAATTACACCTCTAGTTTATTGTTTTTGATGATTGTTGTTAAAAAACAGTCAAGAGAACATCAATCAGACCGAATGAAATCGCAGTCAAGAAAACAACTTACCATATCGTGTAACTCTTGAAGGAGAGGATCCCACTCAGAAACACCACAGAGTTCATCTATTGACTGCTCCAGATTGTACTCATTCGTTCTCAGAACCTCTTTGTTTAAATCAATCTGCTTAAAACCCATCTCCTCAAGCTCTTTAAGGAGAGCCTCTTCCACAGAATCATTTCCATCCAAGCCTAGAGATGATGATAGTGCATCCACAGTTGAGGCTTGCTGGTTGGAGGTAACAGCTGGGGTTGAGCCAGATAAGTCAATTATGGGGTAAGAAACAGTTGAAGGTGCCGCCGAAATTGCAGGGGTTGGGCCAGAGAAATCAATGATGGGGTAAGAAACAGATGAAGATGCCTCCGGAATTGTAGGGGCTGAGGCAGCAGAGCTAACAAATGTAGCTTTATTTGTAGGAAATTCAATTCCCATTTCCTGCCTTAGTTCCTTATCAACCATTTGATTCACAGGTTCAGGTGGAGCATTAGAATTTTTGGGTTGATGAAAAGCATGATCCTCACCAGGTTGAACATTGATATCTATATTCTGAGGCCCTTCAGAGGTACCCACGTCAAGGGGAATATTCAAGTTCAGGTCTTGATAGCTATCATAGAATGAATCCATGAGAGAAGCATCAACCTTCAAGTATGATAATTAAAGAGGGAAGAATATTATTACACCATTAGGAAGAAAACTAAGTGTTTCTGAGTCAAAATTATATTATATACAGGAAAAGCACAACTGTCATTTTACCTGTATAAGGACCCAAACCCGTTGGCCAAATTTATGTCCAGAGAGAGATGACATCCTCCAGTATGATATGTATCTACCAGGTGACTGGGGTGCGATAAAATCAACAGCAATGTCAAGCTCCATCTCTGCAGATACACCAGAATCGGGAACCTGGAAAATTTGATCAGAATATCAGATAGATTACTTAAAAGATCAACCGGCAAAACAAATCTAGAGAAAAGCTAATTAAATTACAGAAATGATAGAACTACAGCATGAGTAAATAGCAAACCTCCAAGTCAACAAAATCAGATTCACTTAATTTGTCCCCCCCAATCCAAACAAGTTGAGTTCCCTTGGGCCATGCTATTGTGCCATTGTTGCGCATCCTCCAGATCTTTGTGAAAGCGGTAGATGGAGCCATCATTGTACCATCTATAACATTGACATCCAAAATGAACCGACTATCTAGTCTTGGCCTTCCATGCTTTGCACTTGTTCTTAAAATATGTGGTGGTATCTTTGGAAGCCTCTGCGCCATAAGAAAAAAGGTATCAGTACGTGTAAAGTCACATAAAGAAAAAAAGAGTTCAAATGAGCTTACAAATTCTTTGGTATTCTGATATAAACATCTTGGACCCCGAAAAGAAGCAGGACGGTCCATCCTGATATAATCAGTATGATTTCCAAATTCATTGAAGCAAATGCTGCAGAGGTCATAGTTTTCTTTTCTGCATAATGGACAAAAAAATCAAAAAACACCCCTAAAAGCTTTTTACAATTTCCAAATAAGAAAAAGAACTGCACTCACATTTTGGATTTGAAACGAGGTCCAGTTATTGGATAGACTCCACAGCCATCGCAGCGGACCCCCTTGTGAAACATACCATTCGATGCATCAGAGTGACTGTGGCTCCTTTTAAATGGAGGAATGCGAAAGTTACCTAGAGGAGGTGGCATTGGATAAAGATTATGTGTCCCAGAAAAAGGGCAGTCAAAAGGAGCACTGAAACTTATAGCGGGATTCTTGGTTAAGTTACTAGGAATGGCGGAATTCATTGACGTTCCAGATCTTTCATGCTTACCAGCAAAACTGTCATCAATAGACGCTTTACCCTTCTCAACACCAACAGGAACTTTTTCATCCTTACCGGCAACACTGTCAGACACTTTACCCTTGTCAGCACTAACAGGAACTGCTGATGAGAGTGGTACTCTATTTACATTAGTGGATGACTTGAGATCAACTGAGGCAATTCCCACATTTCCAGACTCAACTTGTCTACCGGCAATTCCCACGCTTCCAGACTCCACTTGTCTACCGGCACCAGAGGCCGACAGTAGTACATTTCTATTCATGTTTTCGGCTACAACATTGTTGGCTTCCGCCGGGCTATTGACATCAGAAACAGAGCCCAGAAATGGAAACTGTGGACCTCTTGATTCGGAAGTGACTAGTTCTTCACGAAGATTATTTTTGGAGCTTGGACCAGCTGCAAAAGATGGGCCCCGGTTATTTGAGAAGTTACGAAGCAGTTGTTTTGCAGATAAAGTAGATAGAGCCTCCTGCACTTGTCTTGCAGACGCAGCTTTTGAAAGTGATACATTAGATGGAGCCTTCTGCAGTGCTTCTGGCACAGAAGCAGAATCCACAGATGGAGACTGTGGACCTTTTGCTTGTGGAGCGACAGATTCATCGGGAACACCTTCGTTTGAGCCTGAGCCAACTGCAGTATGAGAAAGGCCTCGGGGCTTTAGAATGGACTGTCCAATTTTGGAAATTGAATCAGCAATATTTGCCAGCACTGGATTTGAAGACGCAGCTTTGGAAAATGATGAATAAACAGCCTCGCGCAACGGCTCTGGCAGAGCTTGCAAAGCATCAGCTAGAAAGGGGTCTGAGACAGGATTAGCTCTTAAAGGGGTAGCACTTCCACTAGAGCCATCAACATCTGATTTACCATCAGAATTATTAACCATATGTACATCAATTCTCAAGAACTTCAATTGTTGTCTCATCACATCATGCAAATCTTCATCATCAACAAGATCCACCAAGTCACCATCTTCATCGACATATCTCAGAATAAAAGTAGCATCAGTGGCGAAACTGAAAACAGAGCATATCTTAGCCCTCAACCCAACCATGTTAAGAACAATTCGATTATTCTCATCCACACGAACATTGAAACGCCTGAGCGTGTCTCCATACTTCGCCTGTACAGCAATAATCACAATATATTAGGGTTAAACTATTTTCATCATACCGACGTTTCAGTGCAAAAAAAACAAATAACTCATGAAAACCTAACATGCATAATTTGCAATTTAACCGTTTGAGTTCCATCCTTGTTCCGATCATCAAAAACAATAAAATTAAAGGCAAAATTACAAAGAGAAACCAATTGAAAACGTGATAATCAAATAAAAATTAGAGAGAAAGGATAAAATTGAGATCGGTACCTTGATAACGAGAGAAGAGTCCATAGCTATGAAATTCGAAAGGAAGCGTAACAGTTATGGAAGAGGAAGAGCACTGAACCCTAATTTTCTAAAATATGAAACTTGTTTGGATCAGAAATTTATAGTGATAACTAGCTTTAGCGTACCCGTTAGCCGCTTTTAACGCTCTCTCAAGCGGGGACTGAGATATATACTGCTCTGCTTGCCTTTGCGAACAAGAAATTTTCTTTTTCGATTATTATTTATTTATTTATTATTTTTCTAAATTTTATTTCTTCGTTGCAAAGTTACTTGTGGGACCCACGGTATGATATTATCCATTGATTGATGAATTTATTGTTCATACTAATTCCTAACAATATATCTGCCCGCATTAGTTGCTTATTGCTTTCTTAAGCTTTAAGTCTTTTTTTTAAATAATTAAATATAGAATTATTCTAATATTTAAATGTTTTACGATAAAAATGAAATAGTTTTTTTTATTTTATTGATGAAAAGTGAAGGCAACATAAATTAGATTGAGATAATTTTATTAGTTTTTGGAAGGGATAGTTTAAAGGACACAAACAAACAAGATGATTGTTCATAATTCTTATAGCATAAACATAACCTCACATCTCAAAATAATAAATGATCTTGACGATTGATCAGAATCTAAAGAGTGGTTGGAGGATGATTTTCAATCGGGTTGTGTGTTGAAGAGAAAAGAGGGTTGTACCTACAATACACTCTAACGATCAAGTAAGAGCGGGAACAAGGAGGTACAAACAGAAATATCAGGTAGTGAGTAATGAATATGTGATACCTGACCCTCACAAGTGTGAGGGTTTATATAATATCCCTGACGCGTGGCCATTGGTTCCTGATTTCACGCCTAGATATGCAGGTCCGTGAAATCAGGTAACTGTCAGGACTTGGTCAAACCGGGCATATGTGTTCGTAACTAGTCGTTGGTCCCAGGGAGGGAGTTAGTTGCGGGCATCTCTCTGGTCGGTTCCTGGTGGCCTACACGACGTTGATGTCGGGCAGGCTGAGAGGATGTTCGTCGGTCATCCTGGGTTAGTGTTGGTTCGAGAGGGCAAATGGTTGTCGTTGTCCGACAGGGGGTATAGTCATGCGGGCGATCCGAATTATGGTCGGGTAGGATCAACCCGTGGAGATCTCTAGACTGGGCCAATCAATCCGTTGGGCCAGTCCAGAACAGTAGCCCTCAAGTCTTCGCTTATGGGCACAGGAGTGATGACTTTGACACTTGCTCGAATAACGAGGTGTGACTTATGGGCGAGTTTACCGGGGAGGTGAGGTGTTTGGCCGTTGGAAATTTTGAATTTGGAGAGGTAGCGTGTTTCGAGAAGTGTGCCGGCAAAGCGGCACAATGATGACCTAGAGCTAGGGTGTCATTATGACAACCCTAGGGTTCCCCAGGCACGTGTTTCGTACGCGCGGGCTGCTTCAGCTATAAATACGAGAGGAACAAGACGCTTAGTATTTTTCGCCTTCTCTTTCATCTGCTTGCATTAGCTCGACAGTCGACCATTATTGTTCGCTCAGTTTCTTCGTTCGTTGTCATCCAGTTTCACCTTCTCTTCTTCTGCTGGTAAGTTTTTGATATGTCATTGTTGCTCTTTTTTGTATTTTTGATTCTTACTTTATAGAGATGCATGCGGTTAGGATTAGGGTTCTGTTAGGATCGTTAGAAACTCACGGCGGCGAATGTTATTCCCGTGGTGTATGACCGTCGGGGCCGTCGTGGGCTCTCCTTGGAGGTTTGGCGTTGCACCGTACGTGGCTCATGTAGGGCTTAGGATTTTTTCTGCAACTTGTGCATGTTATAGTGCCTCAATGAGGGTTCTGGTCGGGGATGCAATACTCGTTTCCCCGCGCGCTTTCGCTTGTTTAGTGGTGGAAGGGTGGTTCTGGCATTGATGTCGAGCTCATCGTTTTCCTTTGCTTTTCAGGTGCCATGGCTCACGACGATCAGGTCGTTATTTCGAGCGAGTCTACAGAATCCTCCAGAAGTTCTTCGAGAGAGACCAGCAGCTCGTTGAGCATCTTGGAAGTCTTTGGGGACGTGCCGGATCAGGCGGATCAAAAGATGAGGGCCCGACACGAGGGTGTCCCCTATGGTTAACGACGGCTTATTTCCTCCTCGAGATGACGAGGACCCTCGGGAATGGGTCGCAAAAGACCCCTGAGAGTGGCTGTTATATTTCTATGAACACGGGGAGGAAGTTTTCACTGATGTGTATACTCGCGAGGAGGGGGCCCCGGGGGAATGGTTGTTGTATATCCCGGGGAAGGACAACAGAATATGCTCGAGGTACAATAGGAGACGGATCCCGATGTATGATATCGTCTTTCGAGAGATGGGCTTCCGCCTTCCCTTCACTGACTTCAAGGTAGCCGCTTTCTAGCATCTGCATGTGGCTCCTTCTCAGTTGCACCCAAACAGTATCGCGTTCGTGCGGGTGTTCCAGATAGTGTGTGGCCATCTGAGGATCGGGGCCACGATTCCGTTAATTTTCTATTGTTTTCATATCCAAAGGAGTAGGACCGACGGAAGGCGGGGATGGGTCTCCCTCAAACAAGGCAACGGGAAGTTGTTTAAGGCCTATCTGGAATCTGTCTGTTATTTTAAGGACAAATATATCTTGGTACAACCCTCCTCGATTATGGAAATGTTGAGTGTTTTCAGGACTAAGTTGTTGCTTAACGAGGATGGGAATCCTCGTGTGAATGAGCTAGGGGAGCCTACCGCGATGTTGATTTGCAAGTTCCCATTTCAATGGACCAATAGACACTTCGAGCGAGAATCGAGCTCCTACATTTGGAGAGAGTGTAAGCTTGGGGACGAGGACCTGGATAGCTTCGCCACTCTGACTTTGTTTCTAGCTTGAATCCCTCCAGTCCAGCGAGTCAATCGGGGAGGTAGGCCAGTGCTCGATAGAAACAGGGAGCCTGTGTTCAAGCCGAGTCTCATAAACGTCAGGGAGCTCCTCTGAAGTGAGGATCCCATTAGATATCTGGGTATATATTTTCTTTTCCAGTATGGTCGTTGTTTGTTTGACTCGTCGTTTTACTGACTCTTCTTTTTTTTTTGTGCAGAAAACATGAATTATGCCCAGGAACGTCTGGCCAAGACACTTGCTTCTCGGGCGAGAAAGGCTAAGAAGGATGCACAAACATGCGCGAGGCCAGTTCCTGATCCTGGGTCAGGTGGATCATCCTCGACTCCGACCACAGTTGCTTTGTCTCCTTCTGCTGTTTCTTCGAAGGCGAAGAGACCTCGACCCGGTGGGAGCGTTGACCTTACCGAGGAGACGGAAAAAGGGACTTATGATCTGCCTCCTTGCTGGCTAGAGAGGTCTTTTTTCGAGGGCGCGGATCTTCGTCTTCCTAAGGCTGAATCTCTTCTTCTCGAGGGAACGAGTCGTCCGGAGAAGAGGGGGATGCTGGCCCAAGACGCGGGTGGTTTGATGCGGATCTTAGAGATGGTTGTTGCGTACACCGAGGGGAGTTCATCCCAGAAGATAGAAATGAAAAATCTTCGGGCCAAGTTGGTGGCGACTGAGAAGGCCTTGGTTGATAAAGACAAAGCCCTAAAGTTGGCTGAGGCAGAATCGGGGAGGTTATCCGAGGAGCGCAGTGCTCTTATGCTTGAGAGGGAGAGTCTCGAGGGGAAGGTAGCGGCCTTGACTGCTGAGATACGCCTGTTGAGGACGGGCCGGAGGACACCGAGGACTTGAAGACTCGGGCTGAATTAGTTTCCCGTTTCCAGCTGGCCGTGGACGATGCTCAGGCCGCTTCTAAAGGGAGCTTCGGTAACGCGGTGAGTCAGATGCGTGTGTTGAATCCCAGTGTTGAGCTTAACACTTCGGGCATGGGGGTCAACTACTACGTGGTTGGCGGTCAGATTCTGGTTCTTGACTACCTGAGGGATGTTATCGATCAATCGGCTGGGGATCATGCTCGATTGTCACCTATCGTCGAAGGAAAAGCGGAGGGGTGATTGTGTATTTGTTTTGGCCTGTGTGCCGTTTTTGTAATTTTTTTCCCGGGTTGTTGCTTGTTTATGTAATATTCAAACAATTTAGGCCCAAGTGGTCGCTTTATTTCTTTTCCGGCCATTGGTCGTTTTGCTTTGAATATTTAACTTGTGTTATTTGCATGTTCGTTGACAAATTAGTCTGATTAGGACTTTCATATTTTGCAAAGAGTTTGTATCAGGGATATGCTCGTTTTGTATGTTCATCGGTGCGGGGAAACCGATCAAACGGCCAGGGTGAATACCTGGCGAGGGCCAGAACTCAGGTCCCATTTCGAGGGACCCGGGTTCGGCAGCGTGAACATTCTGCCGCGAGTCGGGCGTTCTACCATCGTGGCATGAAGATTATGGAGCTCGGTCGAGTTATCCATGTCGGGCTGATGGCGCGCTTGTCAACTGAGAGGTGCCTCGCCCCTTCTGAATATTTTGGGTGTTACGCTCGTGCCTAGGCGCGCACGCGTGGTCGGGCTTGGGTGAGTCTGTCTTGGTCGACCAACTTACTGACTGCTCAGTGTTTTTAACTGTATTATTGTTTTAGCTTTTCAACATTCCATGATCGAACGAGTTATTCCCTTTGTAAGTTCTCTAAGTAGTACACTTTGGTTCCCTTTTTCGCGTAGACGCGATAAGGATCTTCCTAGTCTGCTGTGAGCTTGCCTTCGTGAGATTCTTTGTGATTCCTCTCTAAGACAAAGCTGCCGACCTCGAACTCTCGATGTATAGCTTTAGCGTCATAGCGCATGGCTATTTTTTGTTTGAGCGAGGCCTCTCGTAGGGCCACCCCCGTTCTTATTTCTTCCACCAGATCTAGCTCTTCCCTGAGGGCGATGTCATTCATCTCCTCGTCGATATGTGCCTCGGTTCGCCTGGAAGGTTCCTCAATTTCTACGGGGATAACTGCCTTTGTCCCGTATGCTAGTTGGAATGGAGACTCCCTGATAGACGAGTGTATGGTCATTCGATATGCCCAGAGTATGAT